GCCAGCTCCGCTCAGGAGCAGCCACGACCATCCGCAGTTCTTGGCTCATTAATGCCCTGAAAGGACTCCTTGAGATTCAAGCCTTTCACTCCCAAAACATTGCGTCCGGGGTCAGGCATGTCATTGCTTGGAGAACGATTGTCAAGGTGTGGACTAGGTTGTTTAAGCTTCGTGCGCCATGTTTATGGTCGTATCACTCATGGCCAACATTGCTAGAGACGGCTGCCGCAATCCAGTGGACACAAGATGCACTTGCGACCCTCGAAATCAAGCTCAAACTTCGTAGAATTGAGAGCTGGAAGCAGAAGATCCAAGATTCGGCCCGCATTGGCTCTGCCTTTGTGTACAGACACCTGAAAAACAAAACAACCGAGGAGCCCCCCCAACCTGGTCACTGATGGTTCCGGCCACATTGTTTCGGCTCCTGCTGATGCTATTCGTGAGATTAATGCCCAGTGGGATGAGGTGTACAGCGTAAATCTTGGGTTTCCCCACCCCTTGAAGATGCTCGACGTGGTGTGGCCACATATCCACCACTTTGCCGTTAACTATCCAGTGCCTGACATTTCAGCGAGTGCTCTACATGCCATTGTACAAGGTCGAAGAAAGGACGCAGCTCCTGGCCTCGACGGGTGGCGCACCATCGAGATGCAAGCCCTCCCTGTGTCTTGTTTTGAGCCATTTGCCCACATGTTTAGGCTGATTGAGACCACCAATGCTCCCCTGCCCAAGATGCTTGCGACAGCGAAACAAATCATCCTCAATAAAAATGGGAGCTCTGAGCCCCTGCAGAAGAGACTTATTACACTCTTGCCTGTTCTCCTCCTTGCTTACACGGGTGCCCGTTTTCGTCACTTGAGGGGATGGCAGATGCAGGCTATGCCCATTCAGCTGCAAGGGGGCATTCCATCACGACAGATGTCAGCCATTCACACAAACTTCGCCCTTACCACTGAGCAAGCCAAGTGTGATGATGACCCGTTAATTGGCATAAAAATTGACAAAGCGAAATGCTTTGACCGAATCATACCCCAATATGCTGGAGCACTCATGCTGGCGTTCGGTGTGCCCACAACTATTGTTGCTGTTTTCTTGAAACTGTACAGCCAACTTGACAAACACCTGCAATTTAAATCATGGTTCGCACCGATAGCCACCCATAGCCCCAACGGTGTTGCCCAAGGTTGCTCATTGTCTCTCGTAGCCATTAATGTGCACATGAAGGCATGGATCCACCTGCTGGCTGTCTTACCTGATGTGACAGCCCAAGCTTTTGTAGACGATGCGTACCTATGGGTAAGACTCATTCACCAGCACACCCTTGACCTTGCGATTCAAATTACACAGGCATGGGATGATCTAGTTGGACAAGCAATGAATTGGAATAAGTGTACTGTCTGGGGGTCCTCCCCTGCTGCTCGCAAAGCGGTTAAATCTCTTTTTCCACAGATGAAACTTGCCCTGGAACTTGAAGTGCTTGGTGTTCACATCCAAACCAGTGACAAGATCACCACCCACTTTGGAGAGGAAAAATTTGCCAAAGTCATCATGGACATCAAGAATATAGCCGTTTTGCCCATTTCCATGCATCAGAAAGCCCGCCTTCTTGGCGCCAAGGTAATTCCTCAGCGCTCGTATGTTGCAGCTTTGAACCAAATACCTAGCCGCATGATTGCACGGATCCAAGCAGAGATTGTCAATGTTTTTTGGCACAAACGTCCGCGCTGGAGATCGAGGTTCTTGGTTTTGGCATTGCTGACGCAGCCACACCGTGTGGACCCCGTGTGTGCGCGTCACTATAATGTCATTTTGGACTGTTATAGGTACTTGCAGATGTTTCCAGCCGAGGTGGGTAGGTTCTGAGCCCTGCTCGCCAAAAGCGAGCACAGACGTGCCACCATTACTCAGTCCTTTCGTCAGGCTTTCCGTTTCTTCGGCTTTTGTCTTGCTCCGACTGGTCTCCTTTCGTTCCGTGGATATCCAATTGCTGACTTCATGAGCTTGTCCATGAAGGACACAAAGCCAATGTTGAAGCACATGGCAAAGCAGGCTTGTTATGCCCAAGCTTCGCTTCAATCACGGAAAGACCTGCAAGCCCCCGCAGGGGTCATCGACGCCCACCTCTCATGTTTGTTTCCCAAGCCGACTCCCAGTTCAGCCACAAGCGATGAGATCCCCTTGCATGCCTTCTTTGAAGCGCAGTTGGTAGGATGTGTACTCACAAACGATAGGCTTGCAGCCGCGAAGCTTGTTGACGACCCTAAGTGTCGTATGTGTCATGCGGCAAAGGAGTCCCTCCCTCACTTGATTCGTGACTGCCCCATTGTACATGAGGAAAACCCACCACCTGTCGCTCATGACCTCGGCAGGAACTTTGAGCTCCTTGGGATTGTCGAGCACCCTTGGTCCGTCTTTCGAAGCCGTTGCCAAGTTTCGAACCCAAACTCTGTTAACACGGCCGTGTGGTCTCCGCCATTTCACAAAATCGACCTCTGGACGGATGGCTCGGTTCAATGGCCCGAGCATTTCCTCCTTACATGTGCGGGTTATGCAGTCGTTGATAACACTGGGAATGTCATTTCCTCTGGTCCGGTCAATCAATGGGTCTAAGTAGTTACACGGCCGAGTTGTGGGCGGCACTCGTTGCCTTTTGTGAGTCGCTTCAACCTGTACGAATCAATAGTGACTGTAAGACACTTGTTGATCACATCCATGCCCTCGTTCGCACACACAAGGTGAACGCCAGCTGGCCACTCCAAACATGGTGGCAAGCCATGGCCACAACATGGCTTGCCAGAAAGGAAGTTTGCGAAGAACCATTGGATGCCAGGTGGGTTCCCGCTCACAAACTTGAGTCCATCCCAGAACACCTCATTGATGAGGACATGGCACGGGCCAACAAATCCACGATTCTTGACATAGTGTGCAACAGGAAGGCGGACCACGCCGCCAAGCAAGCAGCACTCGCAAATGCACTCATTGAACCCACCATGTATGAACCCATGTGCCGTGCGGTCGAGGAAAGACACATTTGGCTGGCACAGCTGTGCAAGCTCTGTGGTCAGGAAACGTGCAAATACTCAGAGGAAACTGATGAAGAACGTCTTGAGGATAACCAACCCGCGCATGTTTTATTTCCTTTGCTGCCATGGGGTGCTATTAAAGCCGAATACCCTCTTCGCTTTGGAGTTCAATGGCCTCCCCAACCTCCTAGGGGCTGGAAGTCCACCACCGCGGATTGGGCTCAGTTTGGTTGTTTCATCTCCAATTTGCAATGGCAGAAGGGTGCTGAACTTCGCATTTCATATAACGAGCTGGCTGTTTTGTTTGCCCTGCGCAAATTTAAATGCGAATGCCTCAACGACGAGCTGTGTACCTACGCCCAACTCACCGGGTGGCTTAAAAATGCCTTTGCTGTTTGTCGACGCCATGTTGACGTGACACTGTTCCCCGGGGAGCATGCAGGCCATGTCGCGCATACATGGGGCAAGTCCATGCCACCTGGTGCAATCTGCGGTGGCCGTCCATGGTTTTCCGATGATGAGTTGCATTTTTTAGTTACAATCTCCAAGCGTGTTGCTGGTTCTTCCATGTCGCAATGGCGCTTTGCTGTCCGTGATTCGTTGGTGTGACTTCGTTCTTTTTGTACAGTGGACATTTTCGTATGCCATGCAGTGGAAAGCTGCTGGCAACGCGTGAACCAGAGTGGGAGCTGATCGCGCGAGTGAGGTAGAAGAGGTTTTACAATCCATGCTTGGAGAAAAACAAAAGCTTTGTGAATCAAGAGTGTGTGGGCTATGCCTCTACTAAGAGGCCGCAGCTGAGACGAGCGCTTTCTGCTCGATCTCTGAGCTGGGAACGGTTTGATCTCTCGGCGAGAGCCGAGGATCTTGATGCTCTGAAGGAGTCCTGAGAGACTCAAGAGGAGCCAATTCAGAGGTCGCTGACGTGTATCATATTGTGCTAGGTCAAAACTCAGCTCAGGGGTCAGTTAGGAGAAGAGGATTCAACGCAGAGGTCACAAAGCTCAGATCAGGCTGGCCTCACTCATATCGAGTTCGACGCAGGCCCCCAAGCGGCTTGTCAGGTGTTTGGCCACGTGTTGTCACGTGTCCGTTGGCCAACTCATCAGCATTTCTCATTGCCTGTGTCGGTCAGCGCTTTAACTTGCCTTCACGTTAACTTCACGTTGCTTTAACCATTAACAAGATCTGGATGATAGGTCATCCAGATAGACCCCTTGATCAAATCCCTTGTGCCTGAAACTGGGCGAACGGACTTCCTCCTTTCTGTGGAACCTTCTACCCTGATCATTCTTTCAGCGACCCAGCCCATACCTGTATGGGCATGGGGCACCAGTGCCGCTGCTTTTCTTCAGCTGCTTGCTTTGGTGATTTGATGTGATGTGCACATTGTACCCTGATCCGTCTATCAGGAACTCTTGACTTCAGGAATGGCTAGCTTCACCTCGTCCGTGCAAGTCTGCTCTTCGGCAGCTGCTAGCTGATGCTAGCTGCCAACTTTGATGATGCATAATATGATGCTCTCTGTAGTTTGTTTCCGTTCGGAGTCGATGTTCCTTGGGCCATCACCTTCTTCCTTGTCACGTGGTTACACCGTATAGTAACTTGGTATAACCTAGCCACTGCCGGAACACTTCACTGACTTTTCACAAGTTGCTTACCAGTGCAGTGGTTGTTCCAGCACCTGCTCAATCAAATCAGCCAGTCCGGTGAATCAGATGTGAATCAGATGAAGGATAATGCAGCGATACAGTGGTGCAGGGAACTCTGTGGTGCAGTGGAGCTTGCTGGTATTCTTGGATTTGTGATCCTTTCCCTTCAAAGATTAAGCTCCCCACAAGGACCCAGACACTCCAAACAGTTGTCTATGTATTCGATACTCCATATCAGGGGTTGGGTACTGCCTAGCTGTGAAGGGGTAGGTAGACCATGGTACTGCCCTCGTCTCGTCTTGCTGCCCAGCTAAGCCTCACTGAGATGTGTTCCCTGGTGGTCTGTAGCCTTGGAGCTTGGCAGCTGCGACGCATGAAGTGGAAGCGAGAGTCCCGGATGCAGCGCAGAGGGGCGTTGGAGGGGAGACACTTGGACCACGGCTGCTTCGGCAGCAGCAGGGGTCTCCCTCGCTGATGGGATTATGGCCAATTGTTACATGGAAGCTACTACCTGATGCTTGTTTCATGGTTTGGGTCTGCACCCTGGACTGGGAGAACATGCTGGCTGATTGTGATAAGTACCTACTGAGTGTGACCAAGGACCAAACCAAGAGGCTTGAAGTCGTTTGCTTCTGCCCGGGTGATCTACCAGTTTGGATCTGGCCTTGGGAGGTGACCTGGGGTGACAAATGCAAGGGGTGGGAGCCTTGGAGCCTGGTTCAGCCAGATTGTTCAAAGTCATCCGGACGGCTAAGGGAGGAACATGATCCATTTTGGACACAAACGAGCCAGCTAATCAACTTGCCAACGGTCTTGAGGAAGTTGGTTTCACCACGGAAAACACCGTGTACCTGAAAACAAGGCAGCTGCTTTCAGCTGGTGTTTCGCGAACTGACCAAAACCGGCGCCAGACCCCTGACGGGATGGATCGGATGGGCGACCCCCAAATGGACATATAGAGACTTTAACATTCATGGTCACCATGTAATCCAAGAATCTACTGTATTCTTTGATAGTAACTATTTGATACTATTATTGTGCATCTCTTGTTTCCATATCTTGGATTGGATGGAAAGACACGCGTGTTTTATTGCGATCTCTTATGAACAAAATGCAAGGTGTAAACATGTGTAAAACGCGGTTGGAAGATATATGATCAACATTCAATATTTTCCCGATATGTTTAAGGGGTCTTATCCCCCTGTGTCACTGCCCTTTTTGGACATCCCAATGGACCCCATGTTTGATCGGAAAGAGCCCTTAAGTTGGGAGGTTGGTCCAAACTAAATGTCACTCAAGTTCTAGGTACATACAATATACTTACCCATGCCCATGCCATACTTAAAGTACAATGATCATTCAAGTTCAATCCCCATGCCATTGCTTCTAGGTTGGAGGCCATTGCTTGTAGGTGCCATCGCTTCTAGGTTGAAGGCCATCGCTATTCGGTTGGAGGCCATCGCTATTAGTTTGGAGGCCATCACTTTTGGGTTTGAGGCCATCGCTATTATGTTGGAGGCCATCGCTATTAGGTTGGAGGTCATCGCTATTGGGTAGGTCATCGCTATTAGGTTGGAGGCCATCGCTTAGGTTGGAGGCCATCGCTATTAGGTTGGAGGCCATCGCTATTAGTTTGGAGGTCATCGCTATTAGGTTGGAGGCCCTCGCTATTAGGTTGGAGGTCATCGCTATTAGGCTGGAGGCCATCGCTACTAGGTTGGAGGTCATCGCTATTGGTTTGGAGGTCATCGCTATTAGGTTGGAGGCCCTCGCTATTAGGTTGGAGGTCATCGTTATTAGGTAGGTCATCGCTATTAGGTTGGAGGCCATCGCTATTAGGTTGGAGGTCATCGCTATTAGGTT